GAATTCTGTTCGGCAGCGCTCTCCACCTCTGAGGCTAAACCACACAGTCAGCTGCGTCCCAGCGTGGAAGATGGAAATGGCACTCTGTAATGCATGTCAGCTGATGAATCTATGAACACCCCAGGTTGCCTCTGTGTGGTTTCTGGACACGGGACGTATGGCAGTTTTCTGCGACTGCACCACACACAAATACACCTACTCCTCAAAGTGATTGTCACTTGTTTATTTTACTTACGTAGGTTTGTTCAATCAGAATTCAGGCAGGGAATGTAAGGGTGAGGAATAGGGTTTTCACCAACTCTTGATTGGAAAACGCACAGTCTGAGGGAGCACTGTCTTATTTTAAGTGAAATATGTCCGAAGTGCTTTATCTGTGCATTTTAAGCAGAAACTGCCAGACCTGTTGTTTCCATTGCCCTGACATGCCCAGAGTGCCCTTGGACTAATGCCGAATGCATTTTCATATTCCTTTTAAGGAATCTACACTATTGCCCATTTACTCTTTTTTTTTTCCTTTTTTTTTTTTTTTTTTTTTTTTGAGACAGAAGTCTACTCTGTTGCCCTGGCTGGAAGTGCTGTGGCTCCAGCTCGAGTTCACTAGCAACAATCACAACTCCGGCTCAAGCAATCTGCCTGCCTTCAGCCCTCGAGTAGCCAAGACTAGGAATGAAAATAAGGCATGCCTGTGTCCTGCACAGCCAACGGCTCTCATCTTTAGAAAGGTTTCTAACAGTTCCAATCTAATACTGAGCGCATTACCGATTTTAATAATTTTTATGCTTCCAGCCTTTGCCAACCTCTAATACTGTTATTTAATTTGCAGGAACCTCTTCTGAGAGCCACCGAAAATGATAACAGTCATTCTTGGAAAATTATGGTTCTTATTCGAAATAGATTTTCTCCCAACTCTCAACCCCATTTACAGAGGCTCTCCCTACGCGCCTAATGCCAGACAGCATACTTTGTTTTTCTCCACCCGCTCAATAAAGTCGCCACAAACCCTGATGGTCTATATAATACAACTAATTATGAAAACAAATAATTCTTAAAGAATAAATAGACTACCGTGCTGTAAGTACTGAGAATAATACGGAGATCGAGAATAGTCCAAAACTTTTCAAGCTATATCAGTCTGTGTCTAGAGCGCAAAAGCTATTGCCATCAGGTGTGAGGCAGACTGCTCTCATTCATGATTGAAAAGTAGTCTTTGGTGGATTTTCATGTTGAACTATTCATAACTTCTATATCTGACCCCAAATAGAAAAGTTATTAAAAAGAATTTTAACATACCTACAGGTAATCCGTTGTCTTAAAAACTTCAGTGATCATCATAAAAATATATCAATTTGCAACAACATGAAATAACATTAAAGAAAGCATCCTGGGAGCGGCAGCCAGGCCATCGGTGGGTTCACGCCTTGTAAATCCTAAATAGCACTCATGGGAAAGCCAAGCAGGCGTGGATTGCTCGAGGTCAAGGAGTTCCGAAACCACAAGCTCTCGAGGCAAGAGCGATATTGACCTACACTTCTACTATAAATAGTAACAAAATTATGATTGGCGCTCACCTAATTATATCCATAGAAAATATTAGCCAGGCAAATAGTGGCAAGCTGTAGTCAGCATACTTGGGAGCTAGGCAGAAGGATTGGCTTAGAGAGTTTGGTTTGAATGCGAGCTAGGCTGACGCCATAGGCACCACTTCTATGCACTGGACAACAAAGTGAGACTCATGTCTAAAAAAAAAAAAAACAACGAAGTGGAGAGTTATGATGATGTTCCAGAAGAAGATGACTTAACTATATTTGAATAAATGTAGATTGTTGTACTATACTTAAAAAAAATAATACATGCCCTGAAAATAAGCCCTAGGGTGTCTTCTTGAGGCAAAATAAATATAAGACCCTGTCTTATTTTGGGGGAAACATGGTATTATGTATAGAGTAGCCAAGGAGAGTCTCCCTGATGGGATGACAATTAAACAGAAACTGGAAGGCAGCAGGGAGCCAGTCAGGAGGCTATCCCAGGGAGGACAGTTCCTCCTAGCAGGAAGAGGCTCCAGTGAAAAGCCTGGAGGTAAGAGAGGGATTGGTGTGTCACAGGGACAGCAAGGAGGCCACTGTGGCTGGAGCAGAGTGACCAAGAGAAAGGGTTTGATCATAATCCTGAACGCCATAATCCCGGACATTGAAATCTCGAAAGATCCAAATTCCCTCTTATTATTCAATTTTCTGGAATAGTATGTGTAAAATAAAAATTATTTCTTCTTTAAATGTTTGGTAGAATTAACCAGTGAATCTGGATTTTTCTTTGTGAGAAGATTTTTACCTACAACTTCAATTTCTTTAAGAGACATAAAGCTATTCACTTTATTCATTTCTTCTTAAGAAAGCTTTAGTAGTTTGCATCTTTCAAGGAATCTCTTCATTTCATCTATGTTGTCAAATTTATTAGCATAAAGTTGCTCATAATATTAAATTCATAATATATTAACATTAATAATATTTTCTAAATGGGTAATTTAGGTCCCAACTCTGCCACAAACAAACAAAAGAAGAAAGAAAGAGAAAAAAAGAGAAAGAAAGGAAGGAAAGGAGAGAGAGAAAGAGAAAGAAGCCATGAAGACACTTCAATTTTTGAAAACTATTACAAGTTACCCAGAGTTAGCCAAGCTGCAAAATTTCAGAGCATAGTCCCCAAGGTCCCCAAGACCACCCTCACTTCTGACACCAACTGCAAGTTTGAGGTGTTCCCCCAAATACCCTCAGTTTTGATAATTTGCCAGAAGGACTCACCGAACTCACTGAGAACTATTATACTCATGGAATGGCTTATTATAAGGAAAGGATAAGGATTAAAATCAGTCAGAGGAAGAGACACACAGGCAGGGCTCGGAGAGTTCTAAAAGCAAAGCTTCCAGTGCTCCCTTTCCCTGCAGTCCGGATGGGTCACCCTCTGGCATCTGTATGTGACAGTACACACCGAGCTTCAGTGGCCTTTGTGTTCACTGGGGCTTCATCAGGCAGGCATGATCAATTGATTGACTGTGTGGTTCATCTGTCTCCAGTCTCTAGCATGGAGACTGAGTGTGACCCAAAACCCCACTCCAAGTCACACTGTTAATATTTCTGGCATAGCCAACCCCCACCCTCAGACTATCGGATATGCCAGCTCTACCTTAAAGAAAGTCACCCTTATTAGGTATTAGGTATGACACAAATTACCTCCCAGAAGTCAAGGGCAAAGGCCAGACTCTTTTTTGGACAAGGCCAGAGTTTTTACTGCATACAGTTCTCCTCAGTATTCATTCACAAGGGATTGGTTTCAGGACCCCCAGGACACAAAAATTCATGGATGCTCAAGTCCCTCACATAAAGTGGCGTAGAATTTGCATATAATGACGCTCATCCTCCCATATACTTTTTAAATTTTTATTAATTAAAAAGATAATATATTTCGTTTTTTTTCTTTTTTTACCCTACATGAACTTTGACTGCTCCCATATACTTTTTTTTAGCATATTATAGGGGTACAAGTGTTAAGTTTACATATATTGCCCATGCTCCCTCCCACCTCGAGTAAGAGCTTCAAGCGTGTCCATCCCCCAAACATTGCACATCTTACTCGTTGTGGTTGTATATACCCATCCCTCCCCCCGCCCCGCATACTTTGAATCATCTCTAGATTACTTATAACACCTAATACCATTTAAATGACATGCAAATAGTTGTTATACTGTACTTTTTTAAAAAAATTGTGCTATTTCTTATTGTTGTATTATTTTTATAGTTTATGATTATGATTATTATTTTTTTGATCTGCAGTTCATTGAATCCACAGGTCTGGAACTTGCGGATATAAAGGGCCAACTGCACAAGTCTTTTTGATAAATGGACTCCATTAAGTCACTTTGGGACACTTGGCCAAGCTGGCTGGGGGAGGGAAAGGTAGTAAAGAAGGGGAATGAGGCATATTTAATATAAATATCTTGAAATCTTCGTATTTTGGTCAAGCACCACCTTAAACTGTCTGGAACATCAGCTATGTCAGCAGGATTTTATAATAAAGGCCAAACTCACGCCCAGGGAATAATATTTAATGAACAAAAGCATCAGGTTCTCAGTTACTGTAAGTGAGATCTTTTATGCTGACTGCAGCTGGAGGCATATGACAGTATTAACTCACTAGATTTATGCTCCAATACATGCGATGTGAAATTATGAAAAGTCAAGTACATTTTCATTTACTCATTAGCATCAAAGACTTTAATCAAGAAGATTATCTTCTATAGATGATCAGAGACTTGACAACAGAGGCATAAATAAGATTCAGTTCATTCATTTTGTCATCATTCTCCCACTGTTAAGTGCTTGGTGTCTCTGTTTCATCTATGGCAGAGCAGTATGCATATAGAGATATTAAATTACGTTTTCAGGTATAGGCCTGGCTTCTAGTTAAAGGGTTTTGATGGTAGGATAAAAGCCTCTATTATTTTTATAAACGATGTCAACAGGGACCTGGCATTCTCTTCCGGCATCAGTGGGTGTCAGGGAAGCTGGAAGAATTTCAGAATTCTATGGATTTCCAGAGTGTTTGGATTTCCACCATATTCAACCAAAGCCCCAGGAAAATCTGGATTAAATTGGGACTCTCAGGTGCTATCCTGGTTGTGTGGGAAAGAATTGGGAAAAAGAGAGAAACTGGGACCAGACATTTCCTAGAATAAGTTTCCTGAGAGGTTCCAGGAAATATGGAACCTTGCCTGGGCTACTAGAATGTAAGCTCTCTGAGGGCGTGGTCTTTGTTTGCCACACTGCTTGGCACATAGTAGACGCTCAATAAATATTTTTCAAATAAATGAACACAGAAATGAATCAATCTGTTCTGCCAATGGATTTGGGGCATATAATGGGAAAATAAAATGTCAAAGTAAATACTGGACAATGCTATGCAAGAAGTCTTCCATTTGGCTTATGGGAGAAAGAAATTATTTCTACTACCTCAAGCAGAAATCTGTCTCTCTGATCATTAATAAAATCATGGACAGTCCTTTTGGAGTCTGAACCTATAAAGAAAATTGAAATAGACTTAAGTTTACTTCATTATGCTTCAAAGATGTTGTCTAAACTAAAAGCCACATAGTTAAATTACTGCATACAGTATGAATCTAAACATTAAAAAAAATAATATGCCTTCAAATAAATTTTTTCTAACCCCTCAAAAACTAATTTAATAATAGTAACTACCATTTATTTTGTGTCCGGCATACTCCAGGAACTTCATTAGATACTTTAAATACATTACATCATTTAATCCTAACAACTTGAAAAAAGTACTTATTACTATTCCCATTCTGTCTGTGAGGTCCTAAACCTTAGACCTGTCAAAATTCTTGTCCAAGATCACACAGCTAACAAGTGGCAGAGAAGAGGAATATATCTCCTAAGCCCATTTCACTCTACTTTCCACCTTAACAATTGACCAATCTAGACATAAAACTGAAGTCTTAGGCAAATGTTTTTGGGAATCAAAAACCAAATTTAGGTCAATAAAGGGAAGGAAGACAACTTATTTTACCATCTAGCAATAGAATATACCAAAAATTTCAAGTTTCCTTCATTCTGGAAAATTGTACATATATTGCATCTCAATAATGTTGGGCTGTGTGAAAAACCAACAGAATGTGGTATAAAGTCTCTTAATAAAAGTGAAGATAGAAGTAGAAATAAAATAGCATTTCCCAAATAACCAGTGAGCCTGCACTATGCTAGAGGCCACAATCTTCCTGGAGTCATATTCGGCCTCCACCCCTTGCTAGCTCTATGCCTCAGTTTCCTCATCTGTAAAATATGGGTACCAATGGTGGTAGATCATATTATTGTTCTCAAACATTCTCTGCCCCTCTCTGTGAGGGGACGGTCATCCCCACCCTCCCCCCCTGCCCAGTAGAGGTCAGGCTCCATTCCATGGGCTACATCCAGTTAATGGTCAAGCTGCTTCCAAGAAGCAGCTTCGAGAACCACTAGCCTGTTTTCTCTTCTTCCCTCTACCGTCCCAGGCAGGGACAGTTCCCTCAGCTGAAGACTCAGTGAAAAGCACCAAGGTTGAAAAGTCAATGAGAATTAAACTTCTGTTGTTGGATGACACGGAAATTTAGGAGTCGTTGGTTCCCAAACCATAAATGAGCCTAAGTAGATACATTACTTCACCATGGTGTTGTAAGAAGGACATGAGGCAATGTATTATAAAACACATAGTATTTATATTATAACTTCTTGATAATTGTTAGCCATTATCATTTAAACAATACAATTGGAATGAGTGCTCATTTAACTTTTTTGAGGTCAATTATAATGGTTAAATGATTATTGTAATCATTACTAAATATTAATTGGGAGGTAACAAACAACATGCTTTGGAGCTTGGTTTGAATTCTGCATTCACTCAGGAGACTTTGGGTGAGTGACTCAGCCCCATTAAGCCATTTTCACCAGATGCAAAGAGGAGACAAAAATATTTAACAGTGTTTTGTTGAGGATTAAATACATAGAAAAGTAATGAGCACTTAGCACACAGTCATCTTTTTAACATGTCTTCCTACTTTATAGTATATACATCACTGACATTTTAATCCTGTGTACCTGTCGCCTACTTCAACATTATCAACATTTTACCAATCTTGTTTCACTTATTGTCACCCTCCTCAATTTTTTCCACCTTGGAATATTTTAAAGCAAATCCAAGCCCTTGTATCAATTTATCCATAAATACTTTAGTATGTATCTCTACCAGATAAAAAGTCTTAAAACATAACTATAATACCACTATACCTCTAACAAAATTAACTATTCTTTAGTGTCATTTTATACCCACTCTGGGTTCAAATTTTCCCAGTGGTCTCAAAAACACATTTTTTGGAATTAAAAAAATTTAAATATAAACAAAGATCTGTTTGGTTGGTACAGCTCCTAAAGTCTCTTTTATTAATCTATCACAGCCAACCCCATCTCCCTACGCTCCCCACACACTAACTTTTTCCATGCCATTCATTTGTTCAAGAAACCAGGTCAATTTCTCTGTAGGATTTCCCACGTAAGGGGTCTGGCATATTGCATCCTTGTGGTGTCATTTAACATGGTCCTCAATTCCTATTTACTGGATTAGATTTAGGTTCAATTTATTCCAACATTTAAATAGAAAAAAAAAAAAAGAATGAAAGTGCTTACTGTAGCTTTCATTTGGTCACTTCTAATGGGTTGGCTGAATTTAAAATTAACTCCTGTGCTATCAACTTACTAAATATTAGAGTTGTGCTCATAATTTCAGGCTCCTTTAACATGGTACTGTCAGGCTGAGTGGACAGGATTTTATTCTTTGACACTAATTAGAATTATTATAGTGGGTTTCCCATTTTGGCTAATTTAGCTGTTGGGCAGATCTTTCCACTGAGACCTGGTATGATAAAGCCCTCCCCAAAGTGTTAGCGGTTCCCGGCTCCAGAGCACCTGCATCACTCGCTGTGGATGTCAGAGACCTGAGTCTGCAGGGTAGACTGCAGCTGCGACAAACTGTTCGGAGGTGCTCCACTCTGAGGGCTAAACCAAAGTCAGGCGTCCAGCGTGGAGATGGAAATGGCACTTGTATCATGTCAGCTGATGAATCTATGACACCCAGTTGCCTGTGTGGTTTCTTGGACAGGGACGTAGCAGTTTGCTGCCACTGCACACACACAAATACCCTAGGCTCCCAAAGTGATGTCACTTGTTTATTTTACTTTCACGTAGGTTTGTTTTCAATCAGAATTCAGGCAGGGAATGTAAGGGTGAGGAATAGGGGTTTCACTCAACTCTTGATTGGAAACACAGTCTGAGGGAGACTTTTCTTTATTTTAAGTGAAAATGTCCGAATTGCTTATCTGTGCAATAAGCAGAAACTGCCAGTCTGGTTTCCATTGCTGACATAGCCCAGAGTGCCTTGGATAATGCCGAATGATTTTACTATTTCCTTTTTAAGCAAAGTCTACATAGCGCCCATTTACTTTTTTTTTCTTTTTCTTCTTTTTTTTGTTTTTTGAGACAGAGTCTTACTCTGTTGCCCTGGCTGGAGTGCTGTGGCCTCAGCCTCGCTCACAGCAACCTCCAACTCCTGGGCTCAAGCAATCCTGCTGCCTCAGCCTCCCGAGTAGACAAGACTACAGGCATGCCTGTGTCCTGCACAGCCAAGGCTTCTCCATCTTTAGAAAGTTTCTACAGTTCCACATCTAGAACTGAGCCATTACCTTTAAATATTTAATCCACCTTTGCCAACTCTAATACTGTATTATTTTGGCAGGAACTCTCTTCCTGAGAGCCACGAAAATGAGTAACAGTCATCTTGGAAAAGTATGGTTCTTATTCGAAATAGATTTTCTCCCAACTCTCAAACCCCATTTACAAAGAGCTCTCCCTACCGCTATGAGACAGCATACTTTGTTTTTCTCACCCCTAATAAGTCCCACAAACCTGATGTTAATAATAAATATTGAAAACAATATTCTTAAAGAATATTAGACTTACCGTCTGTTAATCTGAGAATAATAGCGGGATCTAGTCCAAACTTTTCAAAGCTATCAGTTGTGTCAGAGCGGAAAGCTAGTTGCCTCAGGTGTGAGCGACTCTTCATTCGTGATGAAAAAGTAGTCTTTTGGTGGATTTTCATTTGACTATTCATAACTTTTTCCTGCCCAAATAGAAAAGTTTAAAAGAATTTTTAACATACTACAGTAATGTTGTCTTAAAAATTAGTGATCATATAAAAAATATCATTTGCAACAAATGATATTAACATTAAAGAAGCATCCCAGCCAGGCATGGTGGGTCACGCCTGTAATCCTAGCACTCTGGGAGGCCAAGGCAGGCGGATTGCTCGCAGGTCAGGAGTTCGAAACCAGCCTGAGCAAGAGCGAGACCCCCATCTCTACTATAAATAGAAATAAATTAATTGGCCAACTAATATATAATAGAGAAAAATTAGCTGGCATGGTGGCACATGCCTGTAGTCCCAGCTACTTGGAGGCTGAGGCAGCAGGATCGCTTGAGCCCAGGAGTTTGAGTTTGCTCGTGAGCTAGGCTGACGCCATAGCCACACTCTAGCCTGGGCAACAAAGTGAGACTCTGTCTCAAAAAAAAAAAAAAAAAAAAGAAGCATCCCCAGTTCTTATCATTGAAGGAATATGAGCAAAAATGAAAAAACATTTAACCTTTATTAAACATGGCATTACAAATAATGAGGCTGGAAATTCGCTCCTGGCTTTTTTCACAATTTTGTCTTGCTCAAAATGCAGGCAAATTTAAAAATTCCCAAGGGTTGGTTCTGTGGAATTGAAAACTTGACAGCAAGTGGAACTCCCCGTAGATTTTTTAAAATTAGGCTTCCTAGGCCGCGCGCGGTGGCTCACGCCTGTAATCCTAGCCTTCCTGGAGGCCGAGGCGGCGACATTGCTCCAAGGTCAGGAGTTCAAAACCAGCCTGAGCAAGAGCGAGACCCCGTCTCTACTATAAATAGAAATAAATATGGCAACTGATATGTAAAGAAAAATTAGCCGGGCATGGTGGCGCATGCCTGTAGTCCCAGCTACTTGGGAGGCTGAGGCAGTAGGATCGCTTGAGCCCAGGAGTTTGGGTTGCTGTGAGCTAGGCTGACGCCACGGCACTCACTTCTAGCCTGGACAACAAACGAGACTCTGTCTCAAAAAAAAAAAAATAAAATAAAATTAGGCTTCCAATTTCATTAATCTTTTCAATTTAATTTTGGGTTAATTTCAACAAAACTATACAACACATGGCAAAAACCTAGCAGCATGAATCGGTCATTATATCATCTAGATATTTTCCTCATTCTAACTCGGGTAAAGAAAGTCTGTAATTGGCCTTTCCCCTGGAGGAAAGAAAATAAGTCTCCTGACCTGTGAACCAGGGCTTTGTAAGGAATCACAGCACAAGTAGGGAGACGAACTCTGCAAGACACAGTGGGAGGCTCACGCTTGTAATCCTAGCACTCTGGGAGGCCAAGGCAGGAGGATTGCCAAGGTCAGGAGATGTGGGACCAGCCCTGATTAAGAGAAGATCTCGTCTCTACTAAAAATAGAAAGAAATTAATTGGCCAACAAAAATATATATTACATTCAGACATTGTCTTCAAAAAAAAAAAAAAAAAAAAAAAAATATATACCAAAAAATTAGCTGGGCATGGGTGGCATGTGCCTGTAGTCCCAGCACTCGGGAGCTGAGGTAGTAGGATGCGTTGAGCCCAGGAGATTGAGGTTGCTGTGAGCTAGGCTGACGCCACAGCACTCACTCTAGCCTGGGCAACAAAGTGAGAGTCTGTCTCAAAAAAAAAAAAAAAAAAAAAAAAAGACACAGTGGGAAAGGTAGCTTCATTGCTGATTTAGATTCAGACCAAATAATTCCAACCCCCTCCTCCGCTTGTATCCACACACACATGCACTGTCTTATCCATATCTGCTTGGTAAATTTTGACTTATTCTTGAAGACTCAGCTCCTGTTATCTCCTCAGTGAAATCTTCATACACACCACCACCACCCTCGTCTCCCACTTCTCACAAATAAAGATGGGCACTCCTTTCTCTGCATTTCCTTTGCATTCTTCTATGACTGTGTTTCATCAACTCTAACATGCCACTTATTGTAAGATGCACTATTATTTTATGCACAGTCAATGATGTATGACATCCCAGCTATGTAAACTAGATTCCAATTTCAGAAGTGCAAAAACGTGGAAAAAGTGGGTGTTAGACGCAATGAAGTAGGTAGGGTACTTGTTACAATGGACTGTGGTGGTGTCTTCGTCTTCTTCCACTAGATGGCAGTCTTCGCGGGTCCCTCCCATGTGCCGGGCGTTGTTCCTTTGTTCGGGTTCACGCTGTCTCCCCTGCGTGTGTCAGTAGCTGACTCCACCTCTTAACCCCGCAGAGTTCATAAGAGCGATGGATAAAGAGGCTGTGATTGTAACACTCACTGGGATTGGGGTTTTAATGAAACCTTACCTTTCTCTTTGTTGCCATTTCATTTTCTTTGTAAAGAAAGAGATCTTTGAAAAAGATCTTATAAGGCCTGTCCTTTTTGACGGAGTCATCTTTTACTTTGTCTGTTAAAAAAGCAAGAAAAAGAATGAATGAATTCTGTCACCCCTCCTCTGTTGACCAGCAGGGTAAGGCTCCCACCAGCCGGCGCAGAGTGTGACACGGGGGTCTCTGAGAAGGGAGGATGCAGACGGCCTCACCTCCACACCTCCCGGGCAGGAGCCTCAGCTTTTCTCTCTGTTTCCCAGGGCGCAGAGCACAGTGATTAGTGCTTCATGGGGAATGAGCTGATAAATAAGGATGCCTTTAACAGAATAGTAGGACTGTATTTGGGGCTATTGAGATGTTCCTTCCCGTCACTACACGTTATCTCCACCGTTACCCTCACACCACCATTTCTACAGCAACAGGCACAGCCACTACCCTCTGGAAGAGCTTCAGTCTCGACTAGAGAGTCTTGGAAAAGAAAGTCAAAGATTAAGTGCTGGAGAGGATGTGGAGAAACTGGACCCAAATACACTGCAGGAATGCAAATGGCACAGACACTTTGGGAAAGTCTGGCAGTTCCTTAAAAAGTTGAACATAGAATTGCCATATAACTTACAGAAGTAGACCCCTTCATTCTAGCTTGACACATGAGCATCCCAGAGTAAAGACTACATATCTCAACCTCCTTTGGAGCCAGGTATAGGCATGTGACTAAGCTCTGGCTAAGGGGACATCTGTTTCTGTTGAGAAATAGTAAATGCAACTTCTAGGCATGTTTCCCACCTCCCCTTTTCTCCTCCTTGCTGGCAGGAATGTGGGCGCGATCGTTGGTGCAGAAGCAGCCATCTTGGACCAAAAATACAGCCCAGCAACAAGCCAAAAGGGGCCTGGGCCCTTGATGTGAGTCTCCATATGGAGCCTGGGATGCTTATATATAGACTTCATTTACCTGAGAGAGAATAAACTTCTATCATGTTTAAGCCACAGTTGTTTTATATTTCCTGTCACTTGTAGCCAAACTTTTTAATTCTAAATACAGATAGTGCCAAATTGTTCCCCAAAGAGGATGCCTATAGAGCTTGTGCTACCTATAACAAACTCTGGGTGTTAGGCAATTTTTAAATCTTTGTCAGATTTATAAGTGAAAAAAAAAACTTATTCCTTGTATACTTATAAATAAAAAAGAAGATACGGAGAAAAAAAGGGTGGTCAAGAAAAGAAGAGATTTTGATAAAGTTTATTTATTTATGTCCTTTATTACAACTAATAATTGAGTTGATCATTTTCTTGTCATGAGAGATTGAAGCAATCTAACTATGACAATTTAATGCATTCCCTGAAATTAAAAAGTAGAACAGAATCTTTTCAGCAGGTTTATAAACTCTTCACATCTTATGCTCAGTGTAGCATTCTCCTTTTCTTACTCTCCCAATCTGGTACAGAACCAAACTGTACTAGGCATAAAGTGAGAACTTATTGATTGATCTCTTTTTACCTTCAGAATTCGGTGGTGTTGGCAATACATTTGATGACATTTTGTCTCCTGGTCCTGTCCAAAGAAAGGGAAATATATTTTTTAAAATTCTGTAAACATCTTGTAAAAGGGCTAAGTTCAACGACCAGTGACTCCTAAGCAACCTTTTTGGCTTTTAAGAGCAGTGTACACACAAATCCTTGGACCCAGCAATTCCCCAACTCTAAGAACTTATCCCAAGAAAATTATCAGATAAGTGGGCAAAAAAGTATGTGCAATAATGTTTGTTCGGTGTTATTTAATAAATAGGATTTGACTAAATAACTACGGTGCACCCATAAAATGAATTGCCTTTTGGCAATATGACTATTAATATATATTGCCATATGGCTCCTTAAAATGATATAGTCACTATTTACCTCTGTCCACTAGATAAGTAAAAAACAAAATATTACAAGAGTAGAAATATTGTGGATAAAAAAATGCATCCAAAAATCTGAGAAGTTTTTGAAAAGCTGTTCATCAAACTATCTCTGATTTGGTACAATCTCTCCTTTTGTTTTAATCAGGCCTGGGACTAGGGTTAGGCGATTGAGGTACTCACCTTAGCTGCAAAATGTAAGGAATTGCCAAAAAGAAAAAAAATCCTAAGTTATCAAGACAAATAATGTGTTAATGTAACATTTTTTAAAAATTCAAATTAATGAAGAAGAAAATCTATGATAAATGAAATATCAAAATTTGAAATACACACAGCATCTGATGCTGGACTTATGTGAACCGAAGACTCAGAGCCTCACTTGCCTTGCCTGGATCCAGGCCCACAGATCTCGTCTTTATTTATAATTTTTATAATTTTATTTATAATTGTGTTCATCACGGATTTTTTGGATTTTTATTTCTTTAAATAGTGGATTAAATATTGCTTATTTTGATTACCGAGTTTTTTGTCTTCTCTTTAAATTTTGTGACTGAGGCAAGTGCCTCACCCTAATCCTTGCCCTGGCTTCTATATTTTTTCATATCATTCAAATTTCTCAGTGAGCTTCTGTAACTGTTACAATGAGAACAATAATAAAGGTATATTTTGGGGGGGGATAAAGGATACTCAGGAGTGTATATAAAAAGATATTCCCACAGCAGGAACAATGGGACAATACATCCTATTTTGGGGTGCCCATTTAAATTTATGCCTCAGTAATCTCAGAGAGCCACATTTAAGAGTAAATGTCCCAGAAGCACAGCAGCAGGTGATTAAGAACAAGGACATTGGAGTGGACACGCCTGATTTTCAATCTTGGTTTGGCATTTACAGATGTGTGAGCAAATTCATTTAACATTCAAAAAAGATTCATTGAAGCCGGGCGCGGTGGCTCACGCCTGTAATCCTAGCACTTTGGGAGGCTGAGGCGGGTGGATTGCTCAAGGTCAGGAGTTCGAAACCAGCCTGAGCGAGACCCCGTCTCTACCAAAAATAGAAAGAAATTAATTGACCAACTAAAAATATATATACAAAAAATTAGCCGGGCATGGTGGCACATGCCTGTAGTCCCAGCTACTCGGGAGGCTGAGGCAGTAGGATTGCTGAGCCCAGGAGATTGAGGTTGCTGTGACCCAGGCTGACGCCATGGCACTCACTCTAGCCTGGGCAACAAAGTGAGACTCTGTCTCAAAAAAAAAATATATTCATTGAGTTTTCTGTGTGTCAGGCACTGTTCTAGGTATGGGAGACAGGGCAATTTAAAAAAAGACAAGAAAGAACAAAAGCCATTGTCTTCATGAGCCTACATTTTAACTCCTTAGTATCCCTGACCCTCAGGTTTCTATCCCCTAAAGTGGGCATAACAGTTCCACCTCTGAAGGTTTTCTTGAAGATTCAAGGAGGCTATAGATTTAACCAAGCAAGTGCCTGGCTTACAGGCTGACCCAGAAAGGGGGAGCTATTTATTATGTCCTAATATTTACTATAATAATTAGCATGTGATTTTAGCTCCAGTGATTATAAAAGCAAAGATGAAAGAGAATAATTATGTTAAAGTTTACAAAAGAGAAAAAATTAATAAGAAACCTATGGCATTGATATTATACTTTTTCAAATGTCTGAAGATTTTTTTCACAGGCGTTACATTCATTCTAATAGCTAGAAAAGAAGGATCGGTAAAAAAATTGGTGACAATCTGTGGTTTGGTAGATATTTGGAATTTGGATGGCTAATACTAAAGACAGGTTGGATTTTCTTAATTTTACACTCTGCACTTATCCCTACCCTTAGGATTCTGCTCACCTTTTGTTTGTCACCCTTTTGCTCCTTCGATCCTTCTATTTATAATAAATTCACTCCCCTCCTAACTTCCTTTCTCTTCAGCCTAAAAGTCTACCTGCAATGAGCATCTTTATCTGTGGGTTCTGGCACTTTTCCATTCACAGAAAAACTGGAAGTTCTGTTCTTCTAAGCTAATTGCTAAGAGCAGATGTCTGCTCTAATTCCATCTCTTACATAACTTGGAGAACACGTAAACACAGTCAGCAGTCTCTGGGAGTTGTTATACTTCCCTACTTCCATATGCACGAATCCCTCTACTAACTAATGAAAGGTTGGTGAAAAAAATGGCAGGGCAGGAGAGCAAGAGAACTAGCTGTTCTTAGGAAAGGATGATAAAGTTCCCTTCCTAAAACTCAAAGGCTGTGAGCATTTTTGTTGTGCAAAATAAAAAATAGCAGGATGGCTCAACAAAGGCTACTGAAAGCGAGGGAAAATGTAATCAGACAACGTAGCAAATGCCTGAAAATTCACATCATAAATACATGTTCAAATCCAACTTCCAACAGATGAAAATTATAAACAGCCCAGAAATATCAGGGATGGAAGATGGTGGTGCATGACTACAAGCCATCCTCTTTAGAGGTGGCATAGACTAAATGATGAAGAGCATGGACTCTCCTTGTGCCCCTCACACTTCAATTTCCTCACCTTTCAAAAGGGATAAGCCCGCCTTCCTTGAGGTCAGTTAACACCTCCAGCTTTTGTACAGTTCGTGCCACGGGATTGCAGGCGTGTGGGGAAGAGCATTCTAAGGCGGGAAGACGCCTGGTGTGTTTCAGCAACAGTGAGGAGCCCAGTGGGATGAAAGCACAGTGGACAAGGGGGAGAGGGAGAGATGAGGCGAGAGAGAGAAGTTCGAGTTCATTAGGACTCTGGGATTACTCAAGGAAATGGAGATTCATTCAATGAATCACTCTGATTGCTGAGCTGAAAAAAGACAGTAGAAAGAGATGAGGGGTCACAGAGGGAGACTTGTCAGGAGGCTACAGTCCCCAGGAGGCAAGAGACCAAGGGGGTCCCTTAGGATGATCGTAATGGAGGTGGTGAGAGGTGGTCTCATTCTAGATATATTTTGAAAGTAGAGCCTGCAGGATTGGCTTATGGTTTGGCTGTGGGGCACAAGATGAAGAGCAGAAGAAAGGATGGAGTTGCTATCCATGGAGACAGAGAAGGCAGTGGGGTGGTTGTGAAGATCACAGACTCGGGTTGGAACATGTTATATTTGAGATATCGATTATATATACAAAGTATATATACATGAGTGTAAAATATATTGTTCTCCCAAGTGAACAACCATGCTGGTTGAGTTAGTTAATTCTTGTATTCTTCTAGCATTTATGCAATTATATGCGGTCACTGAGTTGGGTCTTTTGATGAGTGTCATTGCAGAGGCAGTAGGAATGGCCCTGTGGAGAGACCTTGGCCTTTGTGGGGCAGGCAGGTTTAACTCCTGCCTCTGACTTGACTAATTAATTCTCTTAGGCCTAGAGAATCAAGCTCAGGGCACCAAGTATAGATAATAATGCCTTCCATACAGGCTTGCTGCAGTTTTCAAACACTTAATGTACATAAAGTGCCTGCTTATAGTAGGCTGATGGAGACGTGATCACTTATACTTTCTGCAGAGTAGACATTGTCCAGATCCGTCCTCTTTCTGGTTCACTGTCTTGTGAATAACCACCAGCATTTGAGAAGAATGGGGACATAACTGACAACCAGCTTTTGTAAGAAACCCCCAATCAGACATCTCAAAGCCTGGTCACTTGAGAGGAATCTACAAGCAATCTCAGTGCAAATTTAGGGGACCTGGTTCACCTTTGTTCAGATTTTTAACATTCAAAGCTCCAGGGGAGTGGGGAAAGAAGAGTGGGGTTCTCTAAGGTCCAATCCTAAAGTTCTAGACCAATTCTAAACAAAGTTGTCAATAACACTGTCTGCCAGATGTTATTTGAAGTAGTTTGCGTTTGGTTTTCACAACCCTCTGTATAACCCAATGAAAATGAATTTCCAGATTATCTCAATATGAGATTAAAAGCTATGTTTTTCTCCCACACACCTATGAGGATTTAGATAGGTTCTCTCAGACCCAATGCCTTGCAAATTCTTTTTCCCACCTCCTCCCCACCTACCTTGGACAAACACTAGGAGCAAGGGCTGTGAACTGTGTCCTTGGAGAGGACCTGGAGGGACCAGAGCTAGTGATTTTTTGTTTACCGGAAAGCCAGGAGCCACTAGGTCCTTGGCTTGGCTCCACGGCCTGCCTCTCTTGATTGGGTCAGAAGCACAGCATGAGGGTGAGGAAACTACTTTCAGCTTGACCTTTAGGCACTGATGGCGTCAAGCTCACTATTTTCTGTGGACTTTTCTGTTGACATTTCTGACTGCCCCTTTTGCAAAGTGAAAATAATAACTGGAGGTCAAAAGGAAGAATAGGGGAAAGGAGTCAGCAAATGTGAGTCAGATCATATGAAAACTAAGACCTGCCATAGGGATGTTGGTTATTACTAAGGGAAAATGTGTTAACCTTACCCCTCTATAATTACGGAACAGTAACCAAGGAGGAGAGAAATCCACTCACCCTTCCTGCTTCTGCAAACCTCTTGGTTGCAGGGACTTCTCAGGTAATGTTGTCCATCTGGACTGTTAATCAGACATGCTCAGTTTACCCACAGATATAAATGCCCATGAAAAAGAGGTCTAATTTCCTTTAAACTTGTCAAGAACTTGAAAGCTTTAAGTACATGGTAACTTCTGTGGTCAGGAGAGGAACTAGTATTATTGGCTAAAATCTAATCCTTAACTTAATTGAACAGCAAGACTAAATACCAGGATTAAAATAAGCTAATATTATTATTAATAACGATACCTATCACTTGTTTAGAGCTAGGCACTGGGCTAAGTGATTTATGTTATCTGAAGCTCAAACAAGCCCATAAAGCAGAACCAATTATCCACATGATAAGGATGAGAAAACTGAAGCTTAGGGAAATTGCTGTAATAAATTTCCTGAGATCAAACAGCTCATAAGTAATAGAAGTGGGACTAATACAAGCTTATTGAACCCCCCAAACCTTCTTATTTTTCTATTATTATTTTCTATTATAACCTAATTTCAATTCATCCTTTATGCCTATAATTGCATAAATCTGCAAATAGGCTTATAATTGCAAAATCTAATAGATTTTATCTTTGGCAGAGATTTTATAAAATAAAATTTTAATATTTCTCTGTGATTAGTGACTTTACATGTTTCTATTCCCCACTATTTCTACTTTTCTTGTAACATATATTTATATATAAACTTATTAAATATACTTAAATTTATATATATAAGATTCATGTATAAACTTTTCAAAGCTCTGTATAGCCAGCACACATCTGTTTATGGTTGTGTATCTGAGCTGTGAGTCATCTTCGGATGGTTTTCTTTTTCCACCCTAGGGTCTCTTTCATTAAAATGTCTAGTTCTTTTCCAACTTTTCCCCTTTCCTCTCTCTTTCCTACCTGATCTTTCTTTCATAGGCCATACTATGAAACTAAAATATATTCTTATTTATTGTGGTCATCTAAAGGAGCTTTTGCTTTCCATCCTAGATTTTTAAATGGCTTTAAGATGACACTAAATTAACTTACTTTTATATTTTGTGGTTCTGCAGGTTTTGCATGTTTTTATAGTATATTATTTGTGTCCAATTCTATTATTTTTGATTGTAAAGTCTTTGCCCAGCAGGGAAAGTGCCTTCCTGTCTTTGTATGTTCCACAAGCCCTAACACAGAGTTTCTAATAAAAGTATATAAACAAGCCGGGCGTGGTGGCTCACACCTGTAATCCTAGCACTCTGGGAGGCCAAGCCGGGCAGATTGCTCGAGGTCAGGAGTTCGAAACCAGCCTGAGCAAGAGGGAGACCCCGTCTCTACTATAAATAGAAAGAAATTAATTGGCCAACTAATATATATAGAAAAAATTAGCCGGGCATGGTGACGCATGCCTGTAGTCCCAGCCACTCGGGAGGCTGAGGCAGGAGGATCACTTTAGCCCAGGAGATTGAGGTTGCTGTGAGCTAGGCTGACGCCACAGCACTCACTCTAGCCTGGGCAACAAAGTGAGACTCTGTCTCAAAAAAAAGTATATAAACAAAAGAAAGTAATTAAGAAGTCAAAACAAAAGCGGGTGCCTGCCCACGGTTTCATAGCCATTGACAGGTAGGAGGAGACGAGGATGAGAATTATAGACCCTCTTCCTTCAACGCGATTCCGTCTCTGGCTTGCAGACCCAAGCAGGGACAGCTGGGGTGGGCTAGGGTGGGGCGGACACCTGTTTTACCTCAACGAGTTTGAATCCAGGAGCGGTTCCAACCTATCCTTCAGGAAGGCGTGGTGGGGACGGTAGGCGGAGGCGCCAATCGATCCTGTCGTCTCGGCTCTATCCTCCCCCGCCCGGGTTCCCCTTCATCCCGGGACGGTCAGGTAGCGGATCCGGAGCGGAGCTGGCCAACCGAAGAAAAGCGCGCGGCACCCGCCACCCTGCTGCGCGGCCGCGCGGACCCAAGAGCAACCCCCACCGCCAGCCCGCCCTTCCGCAGCCCACGCGCCCTCCGCGACCCTGGGCACGGGTGCCGGTCATAGTGCCCCCTCCAGGGCTCTGTCTCCAGGCTCCCGCCCTGGCCCTGGGCAGAAGTCCCTCCCACCACATTCTGCCCCTCCCAAGGGCGACCCCTATGCCCCACCGGCGCCCCGTGGCAGAAGTTCCCGCCCCATCACTCCCTTGCGCTCCGTGCGCCCTCGCCCCTCGGCGACCCCCTTCCGCATGGCCACGTAAATCTGCACAACCCACACTGACCTCTCCGAGCTTCAGTTTCCCCATCTGAAAACTAGGGACAACAGTCTCTACCGCATTGACCCAGAATGTGACAAGGCGACCAAAAAAGAGGGGGTTCCATCAGTAGGTTTATTACTAATTGCCATTCTTCGCGGTATTTTGGCGTCAGGGGAGGCGAGTCCTCCCCCTCCCCCTCCTCGTCCCCCTCCCCCTCCTCCTCCGCGGCTTCGCAGGGCGGCGGCTGCGAGCGCCCTCCCCGCCCCAACCCCTGCCCCGCTGCGCCGTCGGCCGCCCGTGTCCTCCTCTGCCGTCCGCCCGCGGCCGAGCCCTGGGCCCCGAGGCCCGCGGCGACATGGCGAGCAGCCACCGCCTCCTGCTGGAGAACGCGCGGCAGGTGGTGCTGGTGTGCGCCCGCGGCGAGCGCTTCCTGGCCGGGGGCGCGGGCCGCAGCCTGGCCGTGCTGGAGCGCGCCAGCCTGGTGGTGGGCACGTAAGTGGCCGGGCGCGCGGGCGGGGACGCGGCGGCCGAGGCCGGGGCTTGCCGCGTTCTCTGGCGTGTGCGCTGCAGCGGGAAACCGCGCGGGAAGAGCTTCCCGGCACAGCGAGAGACGCTGGCAGGCCAGCCTTCAGGGCGCCTGTTGCCGGCATGCTCAGCTGCTCTGGGTTGTCACTGCGTGGGGGGGAAAAAACGGCTCAAAACGGAACACCCATTTAGGATGCATCGAGTCCCGCCGCTGCCTGTAAAATACCGTTGTCCGACGACAGTCAGACGGGGCTGGGGTGAAGTGTCGCCAGGGGTCCGCCTTTGTCAGGATGGCCTGTGATTACTTTTTCTTAAGGACAGATTTCAGACTCACCTCCACCCCCAACTTTAGAATCAGCATCTCTGGAGGTGGAGTTCTGAGTCCTTACTTTTTTAGACAAGTACTTCTCACATCCCCGTGGTCTGTACACTAAAGCTTTAGAACCGCGGAAAACATTTAGATGGGGATGGCCTTGAGTGACAGGAAATCAAGATTTGGCCTCCAGAAAAAAAGAGGTGTTTTCATAACCATCTGAACTGGCTGCCAGACGTGAATGAGAAACAGCCAAAGTGTGAGAGGGCTACCTGGGCTAGGAAAGGGGCTTGGACGAGGATTTGAATCCGAACAGCCCCGTGGCGCCACGATTGCACACGCTGAGTCAAGAGTCGGGCAGACTGACCACCGCTTCTCTGGAGTATGTGAAGGTCGTGTGGGTTGGCTGGCTGGTTTTTAACTAATAAAGGGATGAAAGTAGTCCTAGTGTTACTATGAAAAAATTTGTTTAAAAACTGGCTTAGAAAGTTGAGAAAATATCTACCTAGGTTGATACCAGAGTATCTATAAAACTTACAGAAATGCTGCCAGCAGTGAAGTCTTGGATTCCAAGACATACTTTCTGTGTTCACATCAAATAGAGAAAGAGAAAGGAGTTGACTTGTGGTCTGGAAGGTGGTTTTTTGATTTGAGTCTATTATGCGTGGCTCTCAGAATTTGTTGGATTTATTACATTAAAACAAATTTACAAGAACACTCAGAACTTGGCCACTCAAATATGACTAGTTCGGTACAGGATTGGATTGTTTTTATTTTCACTTACTATCGTCACTATTTTAAACACATGCAAAATAAAGTACAGAATTGAAATAATTATCTGGTGATTATCTGATGATGGACGCCACTGCACTCTACCCAGGGTGACAGGGCAAGACTCTATCTCAAAAAAAAAAAAGAAAGAAAGAAAGAAAAGAAAAAAAAAGAAAGAAAAGAAAAGAAAGAAGCAAAGAAAATACAGATGAACAAAAAGAAAGAGAAATCATTAAAATCATCCAAACCCCCTCATTCAGTGAATTAATGCCAACATTTTGGTGTTTCTCCTTTCAGATATTTTCCTATGGAAATAGAATCATATAAAAATGCATACATTATTTTGTATCCCAGGTCTTTTTGCACTTTGTAATAAATAGTGAAAATATCACCATAGCACTGACATATATCTTTGTAATTTGTAATGGCTACCTTAAAAAAACACTTTGGGGGGAATGGTTTTACTTATTTCCCTTCAATAACTGCCATTGGACATAAACCTTTCTTCAAACATAAGTAGGAATCCATCAACGAATGAGAGATCCTTGTTCTTGAAAGGTAGATAAGCATAGGATTACTGGGGTCAGGGCAAGGACCCAGTGCCCTCAAAATCCTCCCACACAAGTTGACGATGGTTAGAGATTTCTTAGGTTTGATCTTGTTACAACACAACCCCACTGAAAGCAGTGCCAGTCATTAGCTCTCTGTATGGAATAGTTTGTCAGACCTTGTGCCCTGTGGCTCCTGGTTAATGTAGCTTCGTGCCAAGTGAGACACAATTCTAAGAGAAGAGGAGAAAAATAATACGAAGCTAGAGCATTCTCTTTGTCCTTTCTTGTTCAAGGGTCAATTTCTAATCCTGCTGGTACCTTCAGCCACCAGCGTCACTGCACATTGGGTGGATTATCTAAGTGGGTGAGATAAAAACTGTTAGTGATGAAGAGTTGTGTTAACCAGGATGCTAAATTTTGAAGCTTAATTTCTTATTCTGTCCTTTAATTTGTCCACCCCATAACTGCTACAATCATTATTTCTTTTCCTTTTGTAATATCTACCCTTTTCATCCAGTTTTTGTCCCTCCACTCTTACATTCTGTCAGGTTACCACAGCCACTTCAGTACCATTGCTGAATAGGGAATTATCGCCTTATCGCCTGTTTTTCACTGCATATTCCAGCTCTCAGGTTTATAGCCCCGGATCTCAATTTCTGAAACACTAATTTGCAGCCAGTGACAAAGACTCAAGTTAACAGTGGCTGAAACAAGACAGAAGGCTATTTCTCGCCTATCTAAAAATTTAGGTGTAGGAATGCGAGGCTGATTGATGGTGGTCTCCATGGGGTCCTTGGGATCCAGGCCCATCCTGCCTTGCTCCATGGGCCACTTTCTCCCAGTCACTCCATGATCCAAGATCCTGCTCCATCTCTAATATGGCGTCTACAATGAGCCAGTCAAATAGGAAGGGAATGCAACCTTATTGGCTGGAACTTAGTCACGTGGCCACACCTGTCTGAGGGAGGTTGGGAAATGGAGTCTTCATTCTGGGTGGTCATGTGTCCAGCTAAAACATAGGGTTCTAGCACTGTGATAAAGGGGAACATTGATGTTGGGGAATAACTAGCAATCTCTGCTACACATGATTGACTTTTTGTCTTAAACGTGGCTACCATCACTTTTCCGAAGACTCGGGTTCAAGAAGGAAACGCAGTAATTGTTGACTCACTGACATCAAGGCATCTGAAAACATATGTTAAATCACTAGTCAAATCTCCCACAAGATTTCCCCAAACTTTAATAATTATTTCTTGATTTTTCTTCAGTGATGGGTTTATAAAAGCTATCGGTCCTGCCGACGATATCCAAAGACAATTTTCTAAAGAAACTTTTGAAGAAATAATTGACTGCTCTGAGAAATGCATCCTACCAGGTACTTTCTTCTTTTTCAGTAAAGCTCTAAAGGTAGTTCGAACAGTTGCTCTAGGAATGTAAAGAGAAAGAGCAGCAGCTTGTTTTAAATAGGGTGTCACAAGAATACTAAAAAATAATAACAGCTCTGTGTATTGAATTTCTACTACTGAGTGTCTGACTGCTTTACAAACATGATTTCATGTTGAATCCTTCTAACTGCCGGGTGTGGGAGGTATCATTATCCACATATTACAGAAAAGGAGCTTAGGGGTGAAATATCTTAACCCAAGGTTGCTAACCAGGTAAAGGGCAAGCTGGGACTCAAACCCATTCATTCGCTCCACTTCTTCCCACTCCCAGGCTGAAGAGAAACCAGCTGTGTTGTGTTAGGTTTGAAAACAGTCAGAAAAACTTTATTAATCCATTGCTTAGGGGAGGCAAACAGGGCAGCTCCTATCCCTAATACCAGAAATACTCTAATATTGTCTATAGGATGTGAAACCAAGGACCCAGGTCGAGTTCAGAAAATGAAAAAAAAAAAAGTACCCTAGAGATTTCACTGCAGTTCACTTATATCTTTAATGATTGACAACAGAATCCATTTATTAACCATCATCTCCTACATTATCTATGTTGTATGGCTTCTTATAATAACCCAAAACAAGTTTCACAAATTTTTAATTCTACACAAACATAGGAACTTTATATTTATATTTTATTTTATATAAAACTTTATGTAAAGTTCCAGACCAGCAAGGCAGTCTTCTTTCCTCTCAGGTAACCACAGAGACAAATCTTCCTTCTTTCACCCTCCTCCACATTGGATGACCACCATGTTGTTTTCCCAAGAGCAGCATGATGGAGTCTGCCTACTATCTAAGTGCTTTCTGTTTCTTAACTTTAAGATGACTTGATTTATCGATTACAGGTTTGGTGGATGCACACACACATCCAGTATGGGCTGGTGAAAGAGTTCACGAGTTTGCAATGAAGGTAACTGCAATCAAAAATGGCAAATCAAAAGAAAGCACAAATATAAAGTTTTTTTCTAAACAGTCAGTAGGCTATCAGGCTTTGCAACAAATGGCAACATGTCTTTTTTTTTTTCCTTTCTTTCCTTCTTCCTCCCTTAGTCCTGCACTTTCATTCCTGGCTACTACTTGCTGGCTTGATCTCCTCACAGATATTCTGTTCTATTACCTTCATACTTAAGACATGGCCAA